GTGGTCGGCGATCTCCTCCATCGAGAAGGTTCGATCGAAGATCGAAGGAGCGAGATTGGGGAAAATCGTGAAAAGGAAGAATTTAAGATAGAGAAAGAGGGCAAAAATGGGATTTCCTTGGATTTTTTTTTTGGGTACGCGGCTTGAGATGGATTTGGGTTTTTAGTTGACCCAGCATTTGACGGGTCAGGCTGATGTCGACCGCCTTTGGGAGACACGCTTTCTTTTCGAAAAGCTCTAATTGGATATCATAGTGTTTTACTTATTTTTATGATGTTTTTATAAAAAATATATGGTGTTTTTTTTAGCTAAATCATTCTCAAACTAAAAATACATTTATTTCAAAACATAAAATGTATTTTAAGTTTGATATTTTGATTTTGAGTTTAAGAAGATGTTAATATAATATCTAACATAATATATTAAATATAATTAATATAGCGTTATTATCAACATGCTTATTAATTATGTTATACTATACTATATTATAAATAATTTAATATATTAGTAATATTTATTAAGTAATATAAAAAATATAATAAATAAAATATCTTATATAATAATATAATAACATATTAAATACTAATATTTAATATGTTAATAATATATTATATAATTAAATAATAATAAAATATAAATAAACTAATAAAAAATAAAAAAGTTATTGATAATAAATAATAATATAATAATGATATAATAATATACTATACAATAGTATAATCGCTATAATATTATTAACTTTTTAATAAATAAATTATTATAAAATAAAATAATTTTTAATAATAAAATAATTTATTGCTAACAAATGTTAATGTACAAATAATATATTTATAATATAATAATATTTATTAATATCATACTAGTACTAACATAATATTAGCATTATTAATAATATTATATTATATAAATAATAGTATTATATTATATTATATTAATAATAGTATAATATTATATTAATAATATAATAACATTATTATAAAAATATTAATATAATATACAATAATAAAAAATTAATATATCAAAATAATTAAATATATAATTATTTAAAAATAATATGTAATAATTATATTATAATATAATATAACTCGTTAAAGTACAATATAAAATTATAATACATTATACAATATTATATTGCATTACATTTAATACCTATAATACTATAATTATGTAAACTAAATATTATAAAATTTTATTTACAATATACTTTATTATAACATATTAATAATATGTTTAATACTAATGTTATAATAAGTCAAACTAGTGTTGACAAAAAATACTTAACATTGTGTTTTTTTATGTTTTTTCTTTTTCTTTTATGTGTAGAGTGTTGTGCTTGACTACTGGAATATTCTGAAAAACCCACGAATAGAAAATCCGCAACTGATTCAATTAGGTGCGGTTTGACAAGTAATTAAGAGAGAAGTGTTAAGGAGTATTGTATTACTTAATCTGTTATAAGAATTTAAACATTCTTAGATTTTGTTTGGATTATATAGTTGAGATGAAAGATTAACTTTTGTGTTTGGCAACTCATGAAGGGTTAATAAGATTAATTATGTTAAAACATCTAATTTAATCTTATCAAAAATAAAAAATAGGAAAAAAATACTAATAATTGTTAAAAAATAGGTTCTCCGTTTTTTACGCCCTTTAAAATGCAAATACACAACAAATTGGTTATTTCTCATACTCTTAACTTGTGAAGAAAATTGCTTTCGGCAAAAAATTCAATAAGTCCATTTAAACTTATAACGCAAATTCTCATAAGTTGTTTAAAATTAATCCCTAAGTTTCCTACTTTTTACCTTGATTGGAGGGACTAATTTTAAAATAATATGAGATTGAGGAATCTAAAAACAATTTTAATGATTTGAGGGGCTAATTTTAAAATAGCTTAAGACTTGAGGGATCTAATATAGCCATTTGAATGATTTGAGACACTAATTTCAAACTATGAAAGATTTAAGTGGCTAATATTGGAAAACTCCAATAGTAAAAACCACTTACTTACTTAAATATTAGAATCGGAATACACATCTCTCTCTGAAGAGAGCCTTGGTGAGTTTAATCACAAAATATTACACAAAACTAATTGTAACTCATTTAGTATGAAAATATTAAACTTTTTAGATTGCTATCATCTGCTCATGCCCGCATGAAAGGTTAAAGTTAAACAGTCTAAAGTCCCATAGTTGTTAAGTCGTTATTTTTTTTACAGGTAACAGCTCTTCCCACGTTAGCTGGGGGTAACATATCATTCGATCAAAAATTAATTGCTTGTGAGGTTAGTGAAGGGTTGAACCTCTTTAACCTCTTTACTAACCCTTTACCAAAGGAAACGATAGGCTATGTTTGGCTTGAGTACTGTTTTGAGTTAATAGCCTATATCCCTTAAAATTAAATAACAAGTTTTTTGATATAAAATTTTGAAGGGGGGTTAAATTGAACTATTTAGCCAATTAATAGTCTGAAAGTTTATAGAATTAAATAATTGGGGGTGTGGGTATGGGTATGGGTGTGGGTGTGGGTGGGGGGAAGGGCAGGGGAGAGTGGTGTTGTTATAGTCCTAGGACTATTTTCTAGTTCGGATTAGACCCAAAAATACCCCTCAGTCCCTATGCTTTTCTAAAATTGTCTAGATTTCCATCGCTAATTATTTCGTCGCACTTAATTGTCTCTTATCATTCGTCTCCAAGAACAAAGGTGTGGGGGGGGGGGGGGGGGGGCGGTCATTCTCTAATAATGAGTCAGTTGCCTTCAAAATATTTGCAGTCATTGTTGGTTTTCCTCCTAGTGGAGGAAACCAAATGGTATTTTGGTTTGGGTTGGATAATCAAAATACCCATTAAATCCGTTTGAGAACAAATTTGTTAAATTGGATTCTGATTAGGATTAATAATTAGTGTGCCAAAAATTGGAAATAGTAATAGATAGATTCGTTTTGAGAGAAAAGAAGGGAGAATAGGAAAAGTCACTTTCCGCAGGACACTCATCTATAGTCTGATCGGCGTGAAGATCGGACACTCATCTATAGTCTGATCGGCGTGAAATTTGGAGGCTAGCTTCTACACTCATTGATCTTAATTCTGAATGGTGGAGATTGGTTTTTATCAGTTGGTTTTTGAGATATTGAGGTTTGACCAAAGCTGATCATTCCAAGGGTGCAGAGAACGTCTTCTTCTGCATTGTTCTGATTGTTTGGATAATCGGACGGCGAGTTCTTCTCTGATTGATCTGAAACTTTGAAGGTACATCATAAACTCGTGGTTCTAGGATTTGAACGGTGGAGATTTAATTTTGTCACGCCCCGCTTCCTAAAATACAAGGGAATCGGGACGCGAGCAAGCCCGCGACGTATTAGACTAAGAAGAGATAAGTGCTAGACCCCGTCTTCTCAATCTAATACGCTAAGCGTCTAGAAATAATACAATGCAAAGGCACAGGTCCCCGATCACAATCAGCAAGAATATAAAGACAACCCAGAACAATGAAATATCATATCACAAACGGGATAACATCCGAGACATAAAATACGGGTCAAACATGCCCTTATACAAATCTGAACAAATGAATACTAAAGAAATGTAAAATACAATGATCCGACGGAAAAGAAATGCTACAAAGAAACTGAAAGGAATGACTAAGCTTCGGCTTCTTCTTCTGCTCCGTCTGCAAGGCACTCCTGCTGAGAATCCTCTGGCTCTTGCTAAACCTGTTCTTCCTCTAAGTCTGACGTACGGCAAGACCCGACCCCACAAGGAATGATAAAAGAACGTGGTGTACGTCAGGTGCATGGCGCACGGCAAGACCCGACCCCACAAGGAAAATAGAACAACGAAAACCCAAGCAGAAAACGATACGATAACAGAAATGATAAAAGAACGTGTAACTGAAAATCTGACAAAATCAACATGCGAAAACACTACTAACACATGATAATCATAAAGCATCCAAAATCGATCAGGTAACGAGATCATGCAGCTAGCGATCAGTCTAATCATCCAAGTAACAAGGGCATACAATAGATGGAATTAATACCTAAAAATCTACAACATGAGACGTAGTACGTCGAGCGAAATAATCCAAACAAGGAAACCCTCATGTATATACCATATGTCTCAAATTGTAGATAGTTAAATATTAACCCCGATCTATGTATGAAAAGAAACACAACTGGCCTACATCTGACAAGAATTATACTTAGCCAAGAATCGAGGTCATATAACTAGCCATCCTATCTCAACTCACTGGTCCACATCTCACATAGAGTCAACACTCATATCATCGGATAACTGACTGTTCACAAATCCTCTACGTGCACCCAATACGCCGCTACACTGGATCGGTCAGAGGGCTACACGTAATCCGTTTTCAGCCTGGTTCGAACTCAAGCAAAACCCGGGTGAATATCAAATTCACGGACCAAAGTGACTACACTGGCTTCACTTTGACCCAACAAACTAACCCCAAGCTACACTGGATCATGGGGTGAGCCTGGAAGATACATCAACAGTTATATCCGATCACATGAACATGGACTTCCCCATCCCAACTCTCTCGTATTTTCTAAATCAACCATAATCCCCATTGAACTCGGGTTCACCACCTAAACTCGGTCAACACACCCACACATGTCACTAAGTCTGTTCATGACGCACGAGGCCACTAAGTCATGAACTACTAATGTTCTCAATCACAGCAGTGAGATAATAATAACGCTAATTTCATGCAACAACATCATGGCATATCAAATAATCAAAATTAAGAATTATAAATCATAACACAGCGTCTGCATAATTCAGAAAATAAATTTTTTTCTAAAGTAATTCATTTTAAATTATTTCTCTTATCAGTTAATCTAAAATAATTTATTTTCCAAAATAAATTCTTTTAACTTATTTATTATTGTAATAATTCAAATTAAATCATTTTCTCAAAATAACTCTTTTAAAAATTATTTCTCATAATAATAATTCTAATTAATCTAGAAAAGCATTAATTTATCATTTAGAATCTTTTAATATCGTCATCAATAGTCCCACGCAGATAATAACAATTCACAATTAACTATGCAAATATTCATAATAAATGTAATAATCAAACTACGAAACAAGGAGAGCGGGATCTTGCCTACGAGACCGTGGGGTCTGATGGCGAGACTACAATGACAGCGGCTTGGATCTGGTTCAGGCACGCGGTTGAGTTCGTCGACGTGGATCTGAAGAGTTATCGTCGAAGAGGAAGAGGCGGACCAGAAGGGGACGCGGGTGGTGCTTTTCGCCGGCGGTCGTGGGGGCTTGCCTGGGTGCGCGCGGCACTGGGCTCGCGCCGCGAGCGCGGCCCCAGGCCCCTGGGGGCTGGAGGAGGCTGCGGCGGCGAAGGGGGAGGAGAGGACGACGAGGATGGGCTGTAGCGGTGACAGGAGGGGGCTGGGGCGGAGGAGCAGCTGACGGGCGAGAACGAGAGGCCAGGGGGTTTGAGCGAGTTCGACGGGATGGTTTAGGCGGCGACGAGGGTGTCGGAGGAGGAGAACGGAAGGGTGGCGGCGGGTGTCGGGTTCAGTGAGGAGGAGGGGGGCTGGCGTCGCCTGGACTGAGGGCGGGCGGAGCGGTCGCGTGGGGTTTCGGCGGATCTTCGTCCGGGAGAAAGGGAGCGGAGAAAAGAGAGAGGAGAGAGAAAAGAGTGGGGGCGGCGGTGTTCAGGTTTCGTGAACAGGAGAGAGGAAACAAAAGAAAATGTATATATATATATATAAGGAAATTTAGGGTTTGGTATTTAAATAACAAAAATAATTCAAATAAAATAGTTACGGGTATTTAAAAATTAAACTAATTACATAATAATTATCTACAATTAAAAAAGTACATGTTGTGCTATTACAACAGTTAATACGAAATACTCGAAATATACCTATATTGTACAATTAAACAAGAATAATTAATAAATAAAATATATTTACTCATATTTAAAATCAAACAATTAAAATAAAATATATTTACTCATATTTAAAATCAAACAATTATGGGATAATTATATACACAGTAAAACGTACAAGTTATACTAATACATTATGGGATAATTATATACACAGTAAAACGTACAAGTTATACTAATACGACAGATAATATATAACAGTGGTAATATTACAGTAAATTGTACAAATAATACATAATTAATTATATAACGTATTATACGAAAATATATGTAATAATAAAAATAATACAATGTATTATTCAAAATGACATGTAACAGTATCGACAGTGCAACAGATAAATTTCAGAAATTTCCACTGCACAAAATTAATTTATAAATATTAAAATCATTTAAATAAATATAAAACTGAGATTTTAAATCATAGAAAATTCTAGAAAATTGAGAAAAATATAAATAATCTTTTAAAAATCATAATTAAATATTTTAAAATACTAGAAAATTATTTTAACTAGTATCAAAATTTTACGGTTATTACAGATTTGGTTACCGGAATCCTTGTGAACCAAGAATTTTTGGTACAGCCTAAGGTTTGGTTTTCTTATTGTGATCTCTCACTGCAATTTGTTTAATTTGAGATTGGTTGTTGAACCTGGAATCTCTGTATTGCATCTCTCATTTACTGAAAACATAGAGTGAATATTATAACTCAAAGTTTATTTATTATAGTGGATTTTTGGGTGGACTACAGTCTCGTGGTTTTTACTCCTCACACCGAGGAGGTTTTCCATGTTAAAATTCGGTTGACTTATTATTTCTGAATTGTTTGCTGCTGAGATTGTTATTTTGATTTCCTCATAGGTTCTCACAAGTAAGGGATTGGTTGTCTTGATCCCAACAAAGTAGTATCAGAGCTTTGGGTTCAGTTTTACGATGGAAATCAATACTAGCAGGATGATACGTTTGAATGGTTCTAATTATCATATATGGAACGACAAGATAGAAGATTTACTTTATGTGAAGGATTATTATCTGCTGGTGTTTGCCGATGAGAAACTAGAAGATAAATCTGAAGTGAGTGGATATTGCTTCATCAACAAGTATGTGGTTTGATTAGGCAATGAGTGTATGATAATGTTTTGAACCATATCAGTAGTGAAACTCATGCTCGTTCATTGTGGAGGAAGCTAGAACAGTTGTATGCTCGGAAAACTGGGAATCATAAGTTGTATCTGATCAAGAAGATGGTTGATTTGAAGTACGAAGAGGGAATTCTGATGTCAGATCACTTGAATGTGTTTCAGGGATTGTTCAATCAGTTATCTGGTATGGGAATCACCTTCGATGATGAGATTCAAGGTTTATGGCTTCTTAGTACACTACCAAAATCTTGGAAGACATTCAGAATGTCACTTTCTAACTCTGCTCCAGATGGTGTTATCTCGATGGACTTAGCCAAGAGCAGTGTTTTGAATGAGGAAATGAGAAAACAATCACAAGATAGTTCCTCGCATTCTGATGTTTTGGTTACTGAGTCAAGGGGGAGGAGTTTGAGTCGAGATTCAAAAAAGGGAAAGAACACGAGCAGGAGCAAATCAAATAAATTTGCGCATGTGGAGTGTCACTATTGTCACATCAAGAAAAATTGTTGGAAATTGAAGAAAGACAACAAGAATGAAAAAGGAAAGAAACATATTAGGAGTAGAGATGATGTGTTTATTGAAGATCAAACCATTCGAGACATTGACAAGTCCAAAAGTTCAGCTCAGAGTAATGAAGACTTTGTTTGTATACCATAGTGTTTTACTTGTTTCCATGGTGTTTTTGCCAAAAATAAAACATCATGCATTTGGAAACCATGGTGTTTTTTTAGCTAAATCATTCTCAAATCTAAAACAAAACACTTATTTCAAAACACATTTTAGGTGTTGTCACGCCCCGGGTCCAAAACGTGATAATGTGGGACGTGACTCGGCCGGCAATGTAACCATACGGTCACATTCACGCCTCTGGATCATCCTGTATACAGATATTATACTAAAAAAACTACTACATAGAGCATGAACTAAGATAACAAGGGCAATAGATAGATAAAGACATCTCTGAAAATACAAGTTCTCTTACATGTCCACAACCATTCAAAGTAGGTAAGAGGAAAATACATCTTAGTCTGAAGTATCACAAGTGATTACAATAAAACCTAAATAACTGAAGCTGAGGGACTGAAGGGAGAGAAGGTGTTCACTGCTGTTGGTCTTAATCCTTAAGATACTCTTGGTCCTGCGAAGAAAGAACAGTTCCCGAGTCTGGGGCATGCAAACCCCAGGGAAGTCAGAAAACTCCCAGCAAGCATGTAAAATGAGGAAATTGTGCGTGTATAAGTGTATGTGGTAGGTATAAAGAAAAGATGGAAACTCAATTAAAGAATGATAAAGGAAATTTCTAAACATGGATATCAAATAAGGTCTACCACAAAACACATATCTTATACCCTGTACTAAAAAGAGTTAAGATTTAGAAACCTACAACACGAGATGAGTACGTCGAGGGAATAATCCAAACAAGGAAACCCTCGTATATACCATATATCTCAAATTATAAATCTCTAAATATTAACTCCTAAAATTCTATACACAAATAATATAAATATACATCACCCATACTCTATCCAGGTTATACCGTGCATGCCAAATCTATCACAAAGCATATAAACACATTATTCTTATTTTACATGTTATTTGATTTAGAGAAGAATATTTTCATGTATATAAATCGGTTCCCCGTAAACCGTCCCGGGAACACGGCTTCAAGTCAGGAATTGGCTCTTTGGCCCATGTATATATAACTCAGGATATCAGGTATGCGCATATGCCCGTTTATATACATGTTATATTCTTCGTCTAATTCCCCTTTATAACCCCATGTTTGTCGATTAAATTTTAAATGACTGTGCATGAAATGTTGTGCACTAACCACAGAGTTACCGTGGAACGACTTCTGTAAAACTATGAAAATAACCGTGACCCAGAACATGTCTAATCAAGATGGCTGCATCGTCTAGTCGATGCTATAAAAGTAATAGCCAAGGGAAAACCTCATATCGGGACATCGATATCGAGGGCATAGTCATGCTATGAAAGACACGCTTATAAATCATATTTTTATGGAAGTCGTCTTCATGCACAGTCTAACCTATTAAATGTCACTACGTGATCAAACAAAACACGCAACTAGACATACTTTCTCATTTGAGGAAGCAAATAAATAAATAAATAAATAAATAAATAAATGAGGGTCCCTGGAGTTGAACTCCCAACCTAAGGGTGGTGATCTAGGGTAACGAACCACTACAGATACTATACATTGAGACAAAAGTGGTGCATAGGAAAAATATAATAAACTTAATTTCCGATAGTTGTATACATCTTAAAATTTAAATAATTTGATTTATAGATGATTTAGAAGACTTTAAAAATTTTGGTGTAGTGTAGAAAACTTATGGTTAGAAATAATCAGTTATCAAAAATACAATTGAAAAAAAAACTGATGCCAACACGAAATCTTTTGGAAGCTAACTTGAAATCTTTTGGAACCTTGCTGGAAAATACTTTATCAAATCTATAGATTAATATCTATTAGGGAAATAATGAATAATGAATAATATTACTTTTTGAAGAAAAAAATAACGAATCAAGGCCCTGTTCATGTCATCACTCAAACACAGAGATCACTATGTGCTAGCTATTACCAAAAACACCCAACATACATATTGAAATAAACATTGACATTCAATTATTTAAGCACTGAATCCACCTACAATGACAATAGAATATTCAACTGTATGAGAAGCCTATGCATGGACTCGTTAACAGCATAACACTATATTTGCTTTGTCTCCATAAAAATAACAAGGAAACTTTAATGGCCCTACGTGATTTCTTTTAGGGTAGCAAAGATAGTGTAAACATGCATCCTAATTCAGAACTTCAACGAAAAAATAAAACATGAACTTTTTTTCTAATCTAATCTTTACAAAAAGTTTAAAGAAATAAATATGCTTGCATGAAAATAAAAATAAGACGAAAAGAGTTAAAAGGATAAAAATGCTTGCCGAATTGTCGAAGAAAAGACTATGAACCCCAAATCCCAAAAGAACATCCAAATCTCGTCCCTCTCCTTCTATTGTTCTTGATTGGTTTTTTTATTTTTTTCATTTTTTTTCCGTTTTATTTTTCCTGCAGGTTTTTGGGAAGAAGAGGAGGGAAGATATATATAAGGGGAGGTTAATTTTATTTTATTTTATTTTAGAATTCCTAAAACTAAGTAAATATCTAATTAATGGTAAATGAGTAGTTACCAAATAAATCTGCAGAATATCCCACGGATTTATTCTTGGGAGTTAAAGTCAGGGAGGTGGTCGTCCGATATTTCCGGAAACATGAAAAAAACTCGCTCACGAATCCTGCAAAAATCCCCACGGACAAGATTGAGGTGTTTGGGCTTTATAAGTTAACAAAACACAAATGGGTTTTTAATTGTTGTTTCCTTTTTTTTTTTTTTTTCTCTCTTTAAAGCTAACTGGACCCTTTTTGGAATAAAATTTTAATAATAAGTAAATGGACCTATGAATAAGCTCTTGCCATAGGAAAATGACTGTGGGCCTCTATATGAAAGCTTGTTAGTTCATTTAAATGGGCCATCAGAAACTTGTTTTTTTTTTAATCAAATTCCATATCACGTGGGCATCTCATATAAAACCTTGCAAAGAAAAAAAATTAATTATTACAGGTGTTTTAAGTTTGGTGTTTTGGTTTTGAGTTTGAGAATGTATTAATATAATATCTAACATAATATATTAATATATTAAATGTAAATATTATAGAGTTATTATCAACATGCTTATTATACTATACTATACTATACTATACTATATTATAGTTAATTTAATATATTAGTAATATTTATTAAATTATACTATACTATACTATATTATAGTTAATTTAATATATTAGTAATATTTATTAAATAATATAAAAAGATAATAAATAAAATATCTTATATAATAATATATTAATATATTAGTAATATTTATTAAATAATATAAAAAGATAATAAATAAAATATCTTATATAATAATATGGTAACATATTAAATATTAATATTTTGTAGAGGCTAGGTGACATATTGATATATTTTCTTTTAGTTTTGTCAGATTGGTATATTTTGTCGACTCCGGCGTCATATAAGCCTTAAGTTTGGCCAGAGTTACTGTTCCGACCAGTGTTGACAGGATGCGTCATATAAGCTTTGACCAGAGTAACTGTTTCCGACCAGTGTTGACAGGATTTCTTTGCACACCTCCCCCCCC